CGGGCCGCGTTTTCGGTAGGACAGAGCTATGGAGCCACAGGAAGAGAAGGAGGCGCAAGAAGTCGAGAATGGCCCTGACCTCCATTGGTGGCCTGGTCGTTTTTGGGGAATCTGAAGGGGAAAATGAGCGGCTCTTCCTTGTGCGGGCGGCATGTGGAGGGATCGCCTTTCTGAAACTGGAACCCGGGTTGATTTGGGGAAGCGGGTCTTGCGGGTGAAAAGCCGGGTGCTGAAAGCCCATTGCCTATTTCTTCGGCAGGGTTTGTCAACGTGTTTTGTTCCAAAAGGAGGTGCCCTCCCTCGTTTTGGTGCGGAAACGCTCCAAGGGGTCCAGGTTGGCCCCTTCGAAAGTTGGGAAAGCCTCTTGGAGGGAGGTTCTGACGGGCGTCAAAGGCCAAGCCTGGCTGCCTTCAGCTTGTTGAAAGGGAACCAAAGGAAAGCCCCCAGTTGTTTTCGAGAGCTGCTCCAAATTTTGAGAAGCTCGTTTGGCACCCGGGTGTGTTTTTGTGCGGCTCGGTATCTACGGAAACCAAAAGGAGCCCCACCACGTTGGGGGCGCAAATCCATGATGTTGACACACGGGCAGTCTTTTTTAGGGTACTCATGGTACCCCCCAGAAAATGTTGGCGTTCCTGGGGTTTCCCTTTTCCACCAAAAATGGGTACCCGCAAAGCAGCACAAAAATAGACACGCCCACATGCCCTTCCGAGGGCTTTCTCGCCTCAGGACCTGCCCTTGAACGACTGCGAGGAGGAGCTGCACATCAGCTGAAGGCCAGCGGAGGGATTTGCGCCTCAGCCCGGGGGGCCTTTTGGGGGTGCCAAAACGGATGGCCCTTACTGATTTTCCGACTGTCAAAAGAGGGATCAACCAAGACCTGCAAGTTTAGGGCCTAAGATCAAGCTGGAACACCAATCACCTATGGGCCAGCTGCTATGGACAGCAACCGGGACCCGGTTCCCCGCAAGGCACCCTGGCCGGCTTAGCTCCGAACCACTCTGGAGCCTCGAAAATCCCGAAGCTTCCAGGCAAAAAAGACTCCCCACCTAGAATGCTGTCCAAAGGGTCCAAGGAGGCCATCACCAGAAAGCCCAGATTCCTTTGCGAAGCGACTGGCATGCGGCTCTGCGCCTGGCCGGGGTCCAAACTTGGGAATCTGAGTTCAGGGTTGGCCCAATCCTTGGAACAAGAACGTGCTTTGGACTAGGATTCTTCCCCCCCTTTTCTGGGAAGACTCGTTCATTCCAAGAGGTCACAAAAGGTTCACTGCACTGTTCGCAGGGCATGCTTTGTGGGTTTTTTTTCAGTTGCACTCTGTTCATTTGTAGTGGGTTGCAAACAAAGAGTCAGTTGTTTGCAACATGCCAAGGATTTGACAGTTCACCCTCTCCTGGTTCTTTAAGCAAATTTGGCCCCATGCTTTGCCCTGCGGGCACCTGAAATTGCAGGCGCGCTGGCATGCAAGATGCGCCGTCAAGATTGATCTGGGAGGCGGGATCCGGAGACAGGAAGCGGGGGGATACCCGCGGGATGCCTTTGAATGTGTTAAGATGTTGCAGGAATCCATTTGCTTCAGGCGACCTTTTCCTGAATTTTATCACAGTTCAAGTGGAGTCCACCCTTTGAAGCCTTTTTCTGCGGTGGGGATCCCTCAGAATCCGCGTCCCCATCCATGATCCACTCCGGAAGTGAGTTAGTTTGTATGATGTTTGCATGGAAATTGCACTGACTGGAAATGATCATTTGTTCGGATGTTTCTGGTGGATTCAGTTGCCCTATTGTAGGTAGCTCGGCAGAACACCACACAAAAGCCGAACGGTAAGAAGGTTCCCTTTGTGGCAGCTTGTCATTTGCGGTTGTCAAAGTGGGCTAAGGACCTTGAACATGTTCCAAGCGGAGATCTGGGTGTTGATCTGGATGTTGATCTGAATGTGATGATGATGATGCTGATGCTGATGATGATGATGATGATGATGATGATGATGATGATGATCGTCAATGTGGAGAAGGTTGACAAAGACCTAGAACCACAGGTTCCCTCATTTGCGTCCCAGCAACCGCCAGGCCGTGGCTCGTCATCGCGCGCCATGCGAGGCGCTGGCGGCCCTCTTTGCCGAAGAAGCAATCAAATGATGCGTGCCACAAGTGTGGAACAGGTAGTCACCGGCCACTGCACAAGAACTTTTGCAATGCTTGCTGCACCTGCTGCGTCGTCAAAATTGCTACTCTGCATCGGACTGGCCATCGCGCCGTGCGAGGCGCAGGCATCACGATCTCTTCATGCAAGCAAGTTTATGGAAGCTTACTTGAACGCACCATGCTTGCGCACTTGCCACTCATTGTTGATTTGATGTTTTGGAAACACATGTTTCCGACTGCGAGAGCCATTTGGTCCAATCAGACTTGAACCCTACATAACTTCACTTTTGTTGACATGGTGTCGTTTTTGTTTGGTTCTGCTCCTCTTTTCAGCAGCGGGCTGGAAGGGAGATGTTTCGTTGCTAACATTATACATCAACATACCAAGGGTTGGAAAGCCAAGAAGAATCGGCGGTCATGCATCAAGGAGTTCTATGTGTCGCCTTTAGACCCCCTCCCCCAACAAGATGAAACTTACCTAGAATCAGCCCAAAAGGTGATGTGATGTTTGTGAAAGCGAGGATGCTTTGACCCCTCCTTGCAGGCCGCGCAAGCTGGTTTTGAGCGAACATGGAGTCGACAACCAGGCCAGGACCGTTTGTTGCAAGGCCTTCGCATCGTTAAAGACTATTGTTTGCTGTGCTTTTCCTCAAGAGATTACCTTTTTCATTTTGTGTCGAAGGAAATCAAGGGAGAAACAACAAAGTTCGTTCTTATTGGGGTTGTGCCCAGGTCCCCTATTGGAAGACATCATTTGTCAATGCAACAAAGACGCATGAACAGGGGCAAAAACAAATGTTCCCCCCATTGATCTCTCACCAATCGTTCCAGCTTCTTGGTTTGCCCAAACTTACCGCAATCCAAGCGGTACATACTGTGTTGGTGTTGACCCCTCACTAGCATAGCCCTGGATTCATTTGCAGGATCAGTTGCTTCAGAGTGCAAAACAACAACACCCGAGCAGGGTAAGTTTGAAAGGTTATACAGGCGATTCACTTTGTTGACATGCTCGATATGCTTGATGTTATTGCTCACTTTCTGGTTTGGACTTTGTGCCTTCTAGGATGACCATTTTAGTGGCAAAGGAATAGTCCGGACTTTGTGCCAATCCATTCAGGAAATGCAGTTGTTGGACATCTGAATTTGGAGGCCACTCGCGATCGAGTTGCGCAAGGCAGGGGGAATTCAGTCGAGATCGTCGTTTTGTGCTTTTGGTTTTGTTCACTGCCTGTTCCTTTATCTGCGTTACCCCTTTTTTTAATGGGTCCTTTGGGCAGAAGGGGTTCTTTACTTGTCCTGGTCCAAACCGAATCGACCTGAGCTTTTGGTGCTTCTTTGCGGTCCAACCTTTTGCTTTCAAGTGAGTCCTCTCCCAAACGGAATGAAAGGTTCCATGCTTGTTCGAGGTCATTGCCAGGCTTCATCCCGGGCTCTGGCCCGGGCTGGTCCGTTCCAATGCTCTGCACTTTTTTTCATGTTGAGTCCATGGTCCCACAAGGTCCTTTGATTGGCGGGTGTTGAGCGCTCCGATGCAAAGAAGTCAATGGCCGCCAGCCTGGCGCGATCTGCTCACGCAGCCCCTTCTTAAGATATGCTCAGGCCACTAGTGTTATACCACCTCCTTATTGGTTTCCCTCTTCAGGGGATCAAGGGTTGGTTGTTTCAAGTTTCGCCCACTGATTCCCAAGTCCGTTGGCCAGAGATTACACGGCTCAAAAGATGGGCGCCGCCATGGTAAGATCGGTTCCTTAGGGTTGGGATCATCACGTCTTGGGTTGTACCAAAGTGCCTGGAGTTGCTCGTTGTGATTTGCCGAGATGGATTCTCCTTTGGCCACGGCTATGATTGTCCTAAATAAAACAAAGCCGCTGGCCACCCTTGCATTGCCCAGTGCTTCCAGGCAAGCCAGTATAGTAGGTAACCAAAAACCTTTGTTCCTCTCAGTTTCACGTGGCTTCCCCTTTTTGCCTATGGCAACTGGCACCAATCCGGGGGTGGAATGCGATTCCATGACGAAGGTCCCGATTTCTGGAATATGAACATGGCTGATCTTTGGTGTGGCTGGATGGCCTGTCAAACCTTCTGGAAACAAATGGGTTTTCCATTAAACCTACAAACGGTGATCGACCTTTTGCCAGATGGTGAGGTAACCACGCCAAATATGGGGTAACAATGCTGAAGACAAGGTAACAACGCCCAAGCGGGGGTTGGCTTCCCCAGCCCGCGGAACAGAAGCTGGTGACAAAGGGGGAAGTGTCCCCTTGTCGCGCAGGGTCATCACTCTTGGAAGGGGAACTCAACTTCATAACGACTCTTTCCACATGGTACGTAATGGGCGTGCTCGTAAAAAAATAGGAACCTCCAAAGTTCGTTGGTTTGCCCGAACCAAGAAAGATGCCTTCCCGCCTCCTCCCCTGATTAAAAGCAACTCAACGGCAATTTTGGGAACCCTTCAACAACCCTTAGCTCCGAACCACTCAGAGTATCCTGGGCCTATCCACCCCAAAACTTTCGCTTGAGGAAAGCCAACTTAGACCCTGGCAGCGTGAAGGCCTTGGGTTTCCCTGCCCGAAGACTGAGTAAGCAGAGCTAGTGAACCTTGACGTAGGTTGCTCCAAACCTATGTCCTTATGGGCCGAATTCCTATCCTTGTGACAGGGTCTTTGGAACAACTAGTTTGCAGGGGTTTCTACACTACGTATTTCGGTGTTTGGGCAAGCTAGTAAGTGATAACCCAGCTGGGTATAGCAAGATTCAAGTCCTTTCCTGCCCCAAGTAGGGGACCCCCCAAAAAAAGCCCCCCGGCAACCAACTAACGAACCACCATCGCTCGCGCCATCCGATCGCCTGGCTCAAGTTCCCGCCATGAGTTTGCGAAGCCTACTTCACATTGTCCTTCTTCTTTCCGCTGCGGCCGAGAGAAACTTCCTCCGCGGCGAGAATTATGAGCTGCAGGCACGGCAAAGCTTTGGGAAAAGGGGAGCCTGAACAGACCCCTTGCCCCCCTTTTTCGGGTGCAGCCCAGAACCCTTGTTCTTTTTGCCTTAGATTTGAGTTGATGGCAGAAATGGTTTGTCTCGCAGGTATCCAAAGATCAAGTAACCCCTAGCTGGTTTGGATGGGGTATTTGGGGATTTGAACCGTTTTTGTGTGGGCACGCCCAACGCTGCATACCATCCGCCAAACCACCGAGTGGAGGGAAGCTGAAACCTGCTGTTGATTTGCAAAGGAGGTGGTCCTGGACGTCCCTCAAGGCTGCTTCGATTTCCTTTCCGTTTGCTGGCAGACCTTCGAATGTGACTCGTCAAAACCACAGTGGACCCAGGAAAGTTTGGCAGAAACTGCCTGGGGGATTCCCTTGAAACCAAGGTGAAAAGGGTAGCTGAAAAACACACTGTTGGTAAATGTGATTTCGTAAGGGTGGGGGTAAGGGTCCGGATTTTTGACTTCCTTAAAAGGAGGGAATGGACGTGCGACTTGTCGAGTCCATGGACAAACTTGGAGAAAACCTGCAGATCGTTCTTTCCCCGTGAGGGAGGGATGCGGCGATGTCGCGCTGTGTTCAGGTGGTGTTTCGGTCTGGTGTGTGTGTGTGTTGTGTGTGTGTTGTGTGTGTTGTGTGTGTGTGTTGTGTGTGTGTTGTGTGTGTTGTGTGGGTTGTGTGTGTGTTGTGTGTGTTGTGTGTGTTGTGTGTGTTGTGAGTGTTGTGTGTGTTGTGTGTGTTGTGTGTGTTGTGTGTGTTGTGTGTGTTGTGTGTGTTGTGTGTGTTGTGTGTGTTGTGTGTGTTGTGTGTGTTGTGTGTGTTGTGTGTGTTGTGTGTGTTGTGTGTGTGTGTGTGTGTGTGTGTGTGTGTGTTGTGTGTGTTGTGTGTGTGTGTGTGTGTGTGTGTTGTGTGTTGTGTGTGTTGTGTGTGTTGTGTGTGTTGTGTGTGTTGTGTGTGTTGTGTGTGTTGTGTGTGTTGTGTGTGTTGTGTGTGTTGTGTGTGTTGTGTGTGTTGTGTGTGTTGTGTGTGTTGTGTGTGTTGTGTGTGTTGTGTGTGTGTGTGTGTTGTGTGTGTTGTGTGTGTTGTGTGTGTTGTGTGTGTTGTGTGTGTTGTGTGTGTTGTGTGTGTTGTGTGTGTTGTGTGTGTTGTGTGTGTTGTGTGTGTTGTGTGTGTTGTGTGTGTTGTGTGTGTGTTGTGTGTGTTGTGTGTGTTGTGTGTGTTGTGTGTGTTGTGTGTGTTGTGTGTGTTGTGTGTGTTGTGTGTGTTGTGTGTGTTGTGTGTGTTGTGTGTGTTGTGTGTGTTGTGTGTGTTGTGTGTGTTGTGTGTGTTGTGTGTGTTGTGTGTGTTGTGTGTGTTGTGTGTGTTGTGTGTGTTGTGTGTGTTGTGTGTGTTGTGTGTGTTGTGTGTGTTGTGTGTGTTGTGTGTGTTGTGTGTGTTGTGTTGTGTTGTGTTGTGTTGTGTTGTGTTGTGTTGTGTGTGTGTGTGTGTGAGAAAGGTTGCGAGACTCAGGGGACATGTCGTTGCTATTGGACCTCGTGGCTGGAATAGTTGAACAATGGTCATCATGTTTTTGTTTTTATTAGCAAAACCCAAGTTCAACCGGAATTTGTTGTCTTTCAACAAACCAACCAGCATTGTGGGTTGTTGTATTTAGAAATCAATCAACAATAAGGCGCTTTAGCTGCCTTCTACTTGGGTGTTCAAACAACTTAATAAGTATAGGTTAAAACCCTGGTTGTAGCTTGGGCACCAGGGGTTGGGCCGCACCACGGTTATAATCTGCTAATTGGCCTGGACCACTGAAGGACTTGTTTTCTGCCTTGCTGCAAAAAGCTTGAACGTCCAAATACTGTCGACCCCTGATGAATACCCTCCCCCCTCCCCCAGTTGTTCATCAGGATAATTTTCTGGAAGAAAGAACTCGGACCCGCTGATTAATGACTGGCACGCTTTATTGCTCACCCAGTGGACACACTGAACGCTTGTTTTTTGGTGGCTTCCGAATGAGTTTCGTGGCGACTCAAAAAAGTGGAGACTCTTTATGGCTGGTCATTGGCCGTTGAGCTTCAGAATTCTGGGCCTCGATCTGGGCCGGAGGGGCGCTCGCTCGCCGGGCTTTGCCCGACTCCGCAGGGCTTCTCGAGGCTCTTGGGCTTCGACCAGTCCTCGCCGGAGCTGACGCGGCTCGCAAACTGCTGGTATGGGGAATGCCGAAATAGGGGAATACCGAAAACGAGTGGTTTCACTTTTGAGAGCCAACCCCAAAAAGTATCTCATGAAAAAACTCGCCCATCTGATACCAAACCCCTAATCCCCTTTGCAAATCCCCGAATTTTCCTCTTTTTGCACGTCCAATAGTCACACGTTCGCTGGAACCCACCAGTAAATTGCAAGACTTGAGGGCGAAGTTTGAGGGAAGAAGAGGAGTTGTCGTTTCTGAGGGTACCCTTTTTTGTGAACTTAAAGGGAAACCCACCCTCCTAAAGGAACACTGCACTTTTGGGGTTCCTGAAAAAACATACCCCTTCAGCACTTTGTGTGAAGCCTGCATGGCTTAGTATCAAACGAACCCCAGACCTGCAGGGGTGCCCGTTTGTTGAAATTTGGAGGGGCTTCCCTTTAAAACAAAACGTCCACAAGAGAGAGTGCGAGAGAGAGAGAGGGAGCATAACAGAGAGACAGAGAGAGCGAGAAAGAGAAAAGAGACCAGAGCGAGAGCGAGAGAAAAGGAGACATATTGTGTTTTTTTATATATCTTTTCCCATTGCCACGGTGTTTAACAAACAGTCTGGACGTGTTTGTTGAGCCAAACTCAGGAAGTGAGAGATGTTTCCACAGCTTGCGTCGCCCAGGCGATTGTTCTCGGAGATCGATGAGGGTAGCTTGGGTCGATGAGCGCCCTTGGGAAGTGGGGAGGCGAAGACGGGGGCGGGCTGCTTTCCGCTAATCTTGGCACCTCAAACATTGTGTTTGAGGTCCGAAACTTTTATTTGATTCACACAAACCCCTCCAATGGAGGGCGCAACAATGCTTAGGGGTGTACATGTTTGCCTATCTTATGGCGAGCTCACCGATTCTGGGGGGCGGGGGGGGCTGAGGGGGTTCTTTACTTTGGGTTGAATTTCTTGCAACCTGTGCCGATATGATATGGGTAGGGGTCAAAATTGAACCACAAGACAGCAGGTAGTCCATGTTTCCATTTACCTCAACAGCCAACTTTGAAATTCTCCCTTTTTTTGACCCACAGCCATCTATCTATCTATCTATCTATCTATCTATCTATCTATCTATCTATCTATCTATCTATCTATCTATCTATCTATCTATCTATCTAATCTTATCTATATATCTATCTATCTATCTATCTATCTATCTATCTATCTATCTATCTATCTATCTATCTATCTATCTATCTATCTATCTATCTATCTATCTATCTATCTATCTATCTATCTATCTATCTATCTATCTATCTATCTATCTATCTATCTATCTATCTATCTATCTATCTATCTATCTATCTATCTATCTATCTATCTATCTATCTATCTATCTATCTATCTATCTATCTATCTATCTATCTATCTATCTATCTATCTATCTATCTATCTATCTATCTATCTATCTATCTATCTAATCTAATCTAATCTAATCTAATCTAATCTAATCTAATCTAATCTAATCTAATCTAATCTAATCTATCTATCTATCTATCTATATCTATCTGTCTGTCTATCTATCTATCTATCTATCTATCTATCTATCTATCTATCTATCTATGTATATACATATATTATATATATACATACACTACAAATTTACATGTGGATATGTACGCACAATGCATGTGAATTTACCACGATCCATTGTCATCATTGTCATTGGGGCCCACAATAAATGTTAACAGGGGCCCATATTCGGATTCAGCCCTAGGGGAGCAATGGGGCTGTGAAGGACTGCAAGCCATCACCAAGAATCCTTGGAGTGGAAACACAGGAAGTTCGAAGTTTGCACAGTTCACACTGAAGGAGTCTTACTACCCCCCCCAACTTCCCTTCTGTTTTTGAGGATACCCTGTTCAGCTTTGGCCGGAAATGCGGGGACTTCGCTCCACTTGGAAGTTTCTCGGTCACGGTCAAACAAGCGCTACTTTGTCATGTTTGTTTGTAGAATTTGTGATCATGGCTTGTGTTGTATGCGGGCTGAAGCATTGAAACATGTAGCTGGCACTTTGCGACGTGTGAAGTTGGGAGAACCTGTCCGGTAGTCCATCATCAATTCGCGGCTCAAAAATGCGAGGCTCACAAAGTGTCCATAGACACTGTGGAATTCACTAGGTTTCCGACTTGTGTTGCGTGTAGAACCATTTTGACCGTGGTTCACTAGCCATTGACGTTTTGGTTGAGGGGGCAGTAGCCGATATGTTGCCTTTTGGCTTTCCTTCATGTTACTGTGCATGCTCAATCTCCGTCTGCGTTTGCGGGTCGGATCCGTTTTGCCCAGATTGGTTCTTCCCCAGAATTAGCTTCCCTGTTGTTTTTGTTTTGCTTTGTTGGGGTCCCTTTGTTTTCCACCAACCAGGCAAAAAAGATAATTTTCTGCTGGGGTCCTAATTCCAGCCTAGGCTTCAAAGAGATTGAAACTCTGAGGCATGAAGCCGATCCGGCACCCCACCTTCTCCCTGGAAAGATGCTCTCAGATGGTGGAGGATGTCGCATCTGCCGCAGGAGGAGGTGAGAACTTCGTTCACACAGGCTGGGCATGAGTGAAATCTCTACTGTCGACCTTGGTGTTTGCCCAAAATGGCTGCGGCTCACAAACATGTCAAAATGGCACCTTGGTAAATGGAAACAAAGACTCAAAACTGCGTGACCCTGTCTGTTTAGTTTTGAGCCACCTGACAAGGGGGTTGGTGCCCTGTGATTAGTTGGGTTATACCCCTCTCCCCTGCCTGACCCACCTTGGCAAGCTGCCTAAATTGTGACGACCGCGCAAAGGGGGTCAGTGACTTGCCCCTCGCCCATGATGAAGGTTTCCTAGTTCAGGTTGCGAAATGGGGGTTGATCAAAAGGTCCTTGCAAGGAGTTATGTATTCGGTGACCATTCGTCTTGGCTTAAATCCCTCCGCGAAAGATCGGCGATGGAGTTCGCGAAAGAAACTTATTTTTTCGCGAAAGATTCCGCGTTGAATTCTTGGAGGCCTGCCTGTGCACTTACATATTTGCAGACCCCGCTCCCTTGTAGAGAGGGAGATACGCAGCACCTACACTTGCATTATTGATTCCCTGCCTGTGTTGGGATTGGTGCAAATCAATAACGTTGGCTGGGCTATTTTGGAGCAAGTTTCGCGAAAGATCCGCGAAAGACTGGCGAAAGGCCAGGGGGCTTGTTGCAAGGTTCCGCACATCGCCGGCAACCGCAAGTGGCAAGGGCGAATGACGGTGACTGCCTGCACTTGACACTACGTACTGCACGCAAGTGAACTGCGGCCACCGTGTTTGCAAGCACAACTGCTGCAGCCACAATGGCTCCAGAGCGCACGCTGCAAACAAAAGGGCGTGGCGATGGAGTCGCGAAAGATTCGCGAAAGAAACTTATTTTTCTCGCGAAGATGGCGTTTTCCGGAAACAGGAATATTGATCAGCTGCCAAATGATGTTTTTTTGCTTTGCTTTGTTCTAAGCACAATTAATGTGATATACATGGGAGTAGCAACGCGACACATCAAAGATCGTTTGGCAATTTGCTGATAGCGCAATCAGAGGGAACCATTCCCACGGCCGAAGTGTTGTCTAGTCGCCAACTGTAAACCTGAGTCTTGCACCAAGACTGGGCGCAAAGTAAGCCAACCTTATCAATCGAGCCGGGCCCAAAAAAGCACAAGGGTATGCGCGCAAAACCGATTCCCAGAGGCAACTTTCGTATGTCCGGTTTCTCTGGGCTTTTGGGCGCTGCTCAAGTACACTGTTTCGCCACTGATTGTGTAAGCTCACCAGCAAAACATGGATCACTTTTGAGTGTTTGCTGTTTCCCTGGTCCCCCTTTTTCCCTGGTTTTTAGTTCAAACCCTTGTTTCTGTTAAACATATTTCTCCTTGTTTCCGAGGTCAAACAAAGGTGCACGGATCAAGCACCAAGAATATGCTTCCCTTTTCTGCTGGCTCTCAGTAGGGAATGCCAAGGGTTTTGGGAACGTACCTGGAGATTCGTTTGGAAGTCACCTTTGCAATGCTTCAGTTCGGAGTCTCTCATTCCCTCATTCCTGAGAACCAGCAAGTTGTTTGTCCCTGTTCTCCCTTTAAACCCTCGAGTTTGCCCAGTCATCCTTACGTCTTTGTTGCGGCACCCTTGCCCTTGCCCTAATCATGGCACCCTCCATTGCATTGCAGACCTCTGGGTTTGCATTGGAAGGTGTTGGACCTTAAGGACGCTTTTTGAGGTCCCAAATTTCTCTTTGGATTAAGCCACCAGCGCCCCCGGGAAACACACCACCCACCCGGCGCGCGTTTCTTTTTTCCCCCGCAGGCCTCTTCCTGCCATCGGCGGGGGGGCCCGCTGGCTGGCAGGACGCCCAACGCAAGATGCGGCTGGGCATCCTGCCCCATGGCTGGACGTCGCCTTTGGGCGATTTGTGGTTTGTCCCCCGCAAAGGCCCCAGACACTTCCTTTGCTTAAGGATATTTGTTATTTTCCTTTGATGCATTTTGCTTGGATGTTAGGACTTTAACTTTTTGCCAACCAATGGATTTTCCATTAAACCACTAAAAGTCAAGCTTTTGGCAGGGGAGCAGAAAGCAACCGAGTTTCTTTGTTGGTGCTGAAGGGAATCTATCACTGCTGGGATTAGTTTTAGTGTTGTTCCGGGGACTTAAGCAAATGGAGCGAGGCGCAAAGTACTGCAAATGCCAGAGAACTCTGGGATGTGTCTAGGTGGTGGTTGGAAGGGAGCCAAGGAGCTGGGGGTGTCCCAGATGGCTGTTATAGAGGGAGCTAAGGCGCTACCAGGAGTCCTGCAAGCACATAGTATGTTGTTGTTTTTTTTTGGGGCGGGGATAGATATGTTGCTCGCCTTGCGGTGTGTTTCCTTACTCAGTGCTTCCAAGCAAGCTATAGTAGGTAACCAGAAGAAAGCGTGTAAAACCTAGCAAACATACCTGGGTACCTAGTATAGTGGTAACTGGAAGAACTAGGCTCGCTACCAGCTGCAGCCAGGAATGTGTGCATCACCCTACTTGAGGTCGGGCAACAACACCAACTCCGAGACCACCTGGACCTCAAACTGCCGCCCCCTATGTTTTTTGCTTTTGTTCCGGTCATTTCGGCACAAAAAAAAACAAACCGGTCCTTCGAAAGGCACGACTTGCCCTCAGAACCGGTTTTAGTACAAAGTCGCCTCAGCTTTGTGTACTGGCGCCTTCTCCCTTTTCACCTTGGTCCTGGCGCTACCTTGATTTTGTTTGTTTGCTTCAGATGTTGCCTGACGCAATCAATCAGAATCTGGTATCCCGTAATTGGTGAGTTACGTTGCTGGTTTTGGGGTTTGATAACCGACCTAGAGGGAATCTGAGGGTCTGTCTTTGGTGCCACTGTTTGGGTTTAAAAGGGAAACAAGGAGGAAAACCGAAGCCATTTTTGGATCTAAAGAACGACACACCCCTGAATCGAAGCTGTTAAGTCGGATCGATTCGTGAGGTCCTTCCTGGCCACACAGAGCAACACGTCCAAGCTGCGCTTTGGCGTTTGATTAAGAACCCAAGAAGGTCCTGCAGGAAAATCTGGAAAAGTCTCGTTATAGGGGGGGCGCCATTTTGATTGGTATTCATGCGAAACCAAGAGAAAACTCAATTTTAAGACAGACCCATGCGCGTGCTTGTCTTCCTTTTTCCGGTTTTGTGTTTTGATTTGGGGGACACTTACCTGTTTGCCTGTTGGCAAGCTTACGGATTGGGGATGAAGCAAGCTCATGAAGGTCCTCTTGAGGAGGTGGCTTATCCCAGTTTTCCAGTTGGCTTTCATTTGGTGCGAGGTGGATTTTGTCCATCCACAGTATTTCGGATTTTGGACGTATCTCAAATCTCAGGTCTGTTTCCCTCAAAGTGAACCGTTTGGATTCTTCTCACCAGTTGCTTTTCTAGGTTCTCTGGAGGTATGTGTCATTGGTTCCATGAAAATGATCAGTGTAGACGAAAAGTGCAATGGGTAAGAATTTTAATAGGCACTCTTTGGGTGGACATCTTTTGGGTGCAGATTTATGTCCACCAACCACTCGTGAGGTGGTTCCCTGGTTCCCTATTAAAATGTGTGGCCGTATGTGGCAATTCCTTCCCCTAATGCGCCCTATTTATGAATGTCATTTGCCAAGATCCGGACCCCTCAATGCAAAACCAGAAGTAGGCCAATGCTGAACCAAGATTAAGCCAACAAATTCCCGACTGACCTCAAGCAGAGGTTTTGTTGGGTTGTCCAAACCAAGTTAGTTTCTATGTGTAAAACCATATTGAATTCAACCCAACATAGAAGTGCAAGTTGTTCCTTCTTTCAATTGAAATCCGGCTGCCCAATCATTTGTGCAAGACGCGATTCCAAAGCCTTTAGGAACCGCTTGGACCCTATTGATAAAGACGTTTTCGCTCGGGAATCTTTGTCAGGAGAGCTGTCCGTGTTCATGGCTTCGGGGGAATGGTTTGCTTTCTCGGGACCTCCAAAGAGGGAACAATATATAAGAAAACATTTGCCATCACAGAAATGGTCGTTGAACTTTGGGCCATGTGGCGTCCTTCTGTGTCCTTATTCACTACATGGCTCCGTACCTCGCGATCCCTGAAACGCCCTCACGTTGGAAGATTTAGGTCTTCGTGCCCATGGCGTTCCTTTTTTCAGAGGTGGCTGGGCAGCTCTCATGTTCACGTTGTGAGCGCCCGACACCTATGGCCGCATGAGTAAGTGGTTCAACCTGGCTTCGCAAGGGCTCAAAAGGCAGTGCCTTAGAAAAAACACGTCGAAACCACAGATCGGCTTGGGTTTTGTTGTAGGTGGTTTTGGACCAACGTGGGCAACGAGTTCCTCCAGGACTCCTTGCGCATGTTTGAGGAGGAGCGCTTCCGTGGCAGAGTTCAGCTGCGACATTTCGAGGCGCGCCACTCGGCTGAAGAATCTGCGTTTCAACGGTTGGAGGGGGGGGAGGAGGTGTCTTCACTGGCAGACAAGTTGTGCTAAGAATGGGCCCAACAAAGAAGAACTTCCATTGGCTTATCTGTTCTTTTCTCCTGTTGGTATTCAAGGAAATCCATCCCTACTGGAACGACGTGTTTTTTTTCTTAGAGGATGTAAGCAACTGGATATTGGTGTGCGTTGAAATGCGTGTGGTTTCCCTTTCAGACTCAGCAAAAACACACCCAAATTGAGAAACCGGGGGGGCGGGGGCTGCATAGTCCCTGCAGACTAACCATCATGTTTTGAGGATCCTGTTTTGGGGATGTCCTTTCTGGGCTGTTATGGCGTCCCTTTCCTTATGCTTCCCTTATGGCTTCCTTATCGCTGCCTTCAGGTGTTTCATGAATCCAGGCAAGTTGCCTCTTCGGCCCAAATATGGAGAGCCCTGTCAGTTTCAGGTGGATTCCGGGCTCCTGTTCCAGTTCCCCTTTTGGGGTCCCCAAAGAAACTCAAGGGGTCAGGGTTCAGCGTCCTTTCGACAGCAAAAGCGGACTCCACATGTTTTCCACACAGAAACAATGAGTTTCTTTTGAAACCCGCAAGATACATGTGGCAGGCTTGGTGAGTTTGCTCGCGTTGACCTTTGAACCGGAACTGTTGGTACCAAGGAGCCCAAGGGACACCGTGGGCCCCAAATTGTTTGCTGCTACTAAAAGGCCTCAGCGCCAAGTAAGGCCAACTTACTTGGATGTTCAAGCGACTTAGTGAGTAGGTTATAACCATGGATATGAGTGGGGCAGCTGGGGTTAATCCCCTTTCAAGAGTTGCAGCCCGAGTTCCTGATGTAGCTTGAAGTCCCTGATTGGGGGTTTTGCTGTAGTGTCAGGACGCAAGAAACAGGATAGTGTCAACTTTGGATTAGTTCAGAGGGCGTTCCAATCAGGTCCGCTTGCCGTTTAGTGGGGAACTGATCTATTTGAAGGGAGTTCTCAGATTAGCATGGTCTTTCGGGTTAAACCGAACCGAAGCTGGCATTGTAGAGGGTACATTTGGGAAACCGGCCCTAAGCTCCAAACCACCAATCCACATCCCAATAAGAGGGAAGCTGAATCAGGTTTGCACCTCGTGACCCGTCAACTCAACAAGTTGACACTTGCATCTCAGTTTGGCAGCTCCAGTTGAATCCAACCATTGCTTTTGGACACCTAGCAAGTGAACCAACCACGTGCTCGAATCCAACTACGAAGTCTCAGTGACGTGCGGAAATTGACAGGAGTTTGAACTTGTTTCCTGCTTGCGTCCAATGACATGTTGCAAATTGACCTTGTTGTTCTTTGGTTATTTGTTTCCGTGCTTCATTCGGCCATATAGGATTTTTCTGGAGTTTGTGACACGTGTCACGGTGGTTATCAAGATGTGTTTAGGAATCTTAAACACATCCTCTGAATATGTGCATGCACTTGGGTTTGTGTCAAAATAAAGAATTGGACACTCCTTAAATGGTTTCTTGTTGTGTCCCTTTAAACTGAAAAAGGTAGTTGCCGAGCCTCCAAACAAACAACCCATTTGTTCGTTGGCAACCCAAGGCCCCTCCTTCAAGGGCTCCTTCAAGGGTATGTCCAGATTTGGAGGTACGGATGCTTTCGCAACACTCATAGAAGCTTGTATACGGCAGTACGTACAAGTGATCATTCAACAAGCGATCGAAATGAAAAGAAAACAATAGAAAGTGAAACAACATCTTCCCGGTTAGATAGCCTCCTGAAACTGCCATTGACTTCTTTTCCGGAGCTGTTTTTGAAATGCCGAGGTTCCGAGTTCGCGCAGGTGGTTTCCAATGCCACGGAGAGTATCTCGCCTTGTGGAAAACACGTCATGGGTTAGGTGAAGTTTGATCGAAACTGCCGGTAATCTATGTTCCATTTGGGACTCACTGAATTTCCCACAAAAGTCACGGGACTCATTCAATGTCCCATGTCACATTTGAGGGATCAAGTAGTTTTAACTGTGTCAAGCAGGAGTTCGGACCCCCAAATGGCCTGGGTCCGGGGCAGTTGTCCTTAGGTGTCCCTTCAAACTGGGAACCAGGTGGCAATCTTTGAGCTGTTTGTTGGTTCTTCGTCGTCTTTTTATTCAAGTTTAAACACGTCTTTGGCCAGACTTGACAGTTTCCAAAGATGGGCCCCTTTTTCTGTTTTGTTCAACCCCCCTTTAGTTTGGCGGGTTCCTCAAACAAATTGTCAACACTAAAAACGTACCATGTCTCTTCCCTTCAGAACGGTCTACCCTTTTAGCAGTTCCCTTTGTGTGCTGGGTTCAATTCTATTTTCTACCAGGGGTGGGACTGGTTTTGGTTGACATTTTGGCACCCCATCATGGTACCCTTGGCAGTCTTTGGTTGGGTCCTTAGCCTTTTTTGGCCTGCGCGCATGCAAACGCGTGCGCACCACGGCAATCACACCTGACATTTTCGGGCGCTCGATATGGGCCCCGTCGGAGCAAAGTGCGCTTCCGAGGTAAATAAAGGCGCTGGGAGCTTGAGGGGCCTTGTGTAATTGGATATAATATTAAGCTGAATCAGCACTGCAATGAGCATACGTAAAAAGAAAAGAGCATCTAATCAGAACATTTGCAAGAGAAGGGACTTGACGCCTTCCATGTTTGCCGACGGAAGATTTCCAACGGGGCCCCAACACTGCTTTCCGGGAAAGAGCTGGAGCAAAGGCTGCTAGCGAGACGGTGCAACAAAGCTGCTATGGCTTGGAAAACTCGCAGCGCGAGATGATGGTGATGCAGTGAAGTGGGCAGTTTTCCATTCTGGGCCCAGCAAGCTGGAGGCGAAGTTGCCGGAGGGGCGTGGGCCGATGCCAGGCCAAGCAATTGCATGTAGTTTGCGGCAGGCACGCAATGATGCTAGCCAAATGTCACGGGCCCGCCGTCAATGGTGTTGCCTTCTTCAAGAAACACTACACCGCTGGCAGTTACATCGCAAGCACGGGTGCGACGCTGCAACTCAAAGTTGAAGTTCATTGAAGAGGCAGCAAGGGCTGCCTACATTTGCCTTGTTGGGGCTTTCATCATTTCCTGCTGGGCCCACTTCAAGTCAGTTTCCCTCAAGGGATGTTTCAGGGAATATTGTAGGGAGCCCCGCAGGCCCCACAGAGTCCCTTAAAGGGATGGGCGTTTGCAAAAGGCTGTTTGTGCATTCCCAGGTTATTGAGGCCAGCTGGTCTTGGAAGAACAGCTGCAAACATCTCGACTCCAAAAGGCTCAGTTTTGACGTGTTGGCATTCCGCTGGTTGCTTCGCATTGCTTGGGCCCAGAATGCCTCAACGATGCTGTCAGACTTTCATATGGGCCGAACTTGTTTAGTGGCGCCGCTCAAACTCGTCAACCCAAAAACCTTTTTCAGGGTCAACGAACTGGTCAAATTCGCCGGTCGCTCGGTCGCTTGCGCGAGGTAATGCTCTAGCGCACGTCTACGAGGCACAGACCGACGTGACCTCCAAAAGTGACCTGCTGCGGGCGGTGGTGCTTCACAACTATGGCCGCCCAGCTCCGAATGATTACACCTGGGCCCTATACTTCACCTTAGCCCGTTTGAGTATCACTTTTGAGGCCATTGTTAGAGGAGCTTCCTCTTGGTGAGATGAGGCCTGCACATTAACCCGGACCCCAAACCGGGGGGTCCAGGACCCAACAAGAGACTTCTCCAATTTATGCTACTGATGCAGCTTGCCTTAGCAGCAAAACCTCAATTGGTGCCATCATCATTCAGGTTGGATCGCATTCAAACTCAGTTATTCATTGGGGGTCATACAAAAGCCCTTGCCAGCCGTGTTTTTATCTTGAGATTCCAAGAGCGAAAAATCTCCCCATTCTTTCCCAACCTCCAACCTTTTGGTTTGATTCCCAAACCTTCTATGGGGGTTGGAACATCCCACACATGTGCCGTTCTCATTTTGAGTAAAAGAGCCCTTTTGGAGTTCCATGTTGCTTGGGGGCGAATGGGGTTGGTTCTTTCAGGGGCCTCTTTTTGTGGATGTCGTAGGGCCTTCCATTGCGGGGGACCACCCAGAAGCCACCCGGGCATTGAGAACGACAGAGTGATGCTATGTGGGATGTTTGTTTTGGGGGAAGCGCTGAGACGAAGAGGGCACTGAGATATCGACTCAACGTGTGCCAACACACGGCAAGCAAAAGATCAAATTCATCGAATCCCGTTGGTCTAAGTCTCGTCAAGAGTTTTGCCCAGAGCCGGGTATGTAAAGGCTAGTAAGGGATAGTCACCCACACAAGTGTTCGGTGCGGGAAACCACCCTATTATTGTTTTAATACCCATGTTTTCAGGGTTTTTAGTAGCAGTGTTTGAGTGTGACTCAGGTGGGTTCTGGATGGACACGGACGTTCTGCTGATCCGGGACCTCACGCCATTGGCGCAAGAGGACTTCGCCTACCTGGGACAGGACTTGGGTTTGGTTGGGCATGTCACACGTAAGATCAGACCTCAAGCATGGCGGATGGCGGTTGTCCTTTTGCTTCCCCTAAGCTTAAATAGGTTTGCTCACACAGCCCAAAACCTCTGGAGTGAAGGTCTGTTGCTTAAAACCATGGTTTTAGCCAAACCCTGAAACCTCTGCGAACCAGGGTCACATCCATACCCTGCAAACCAGGGTGAAACCAGGTTTGTTGAAAGAGTTTGGTTTCACCCTGGTTTACCGGTATCGTCCAACCCTGAGGATGACTTCGTGAATAACGCCTTCATGTCCACCTCGAAGCCGCGGTCGGCCTTTATGATGCTTGCAAACAAATCCGAGCCCAAGAAGCCAATCTCAAAAAAACTAAACATATGGATTTGTGTTCCAGGGGAACCCCAACAAATTGTGGATTTTCTTTGGTGATGTTCATTTAACATCACCTCAAAAGACACGGCCGCACGCACACATCAACATGAAGTTTAGTCAAAACCCACAGTAGTCTATTCATTTGGGGGAGGGACATGGTGGGAACTTGCGAAAGTTCCTGCAAAAAAGAAATCAGGGGACTTGCGAATTGTCCCATGTCCTTTGGGGGAAGCACGTAGTTTGCCCATGTCTCACAGATATACCTGAATGTGTTTCCTGGAAACTGGGGCTGACAAGCTCGAGGTGCAGGAGTATCTGAGTTTTAGCGTAGTAGCGCGTCCAGGTTTCCTTATCCAATTGTCGTTATGAACACCATCCCGTCGTGAAGTGTGTGGTGGAGTTTGCACAGATCAGTGAACCAGTGACAATCATTGGAAGCATTTGGACAGATTACAGCTAGCTCGCCCATCGGGCTAAATGGAGCGATGCCACGCATCCTGAAGGTCCTTTACTAAATTTACTAATTCCAGTTTGGCAGCAGCCATTTGGCCAAATATTGTATGCTGATCAGCTCAAAGGAACATGCTGCATATCTTTCTGGATGCAGAGTATCAGTCACATCCTCAGTGTGAGTGGCACCTCCTCCTTCGTTTTGTGGGGATGGGTGTCCTCTTAACATCAAGCATCACATATGGAATTGGTGGAGGTGACTCCAATGGAGCCCCATGGGTCGCCGATGCTTGTGCCAAAGGCTGTCTTCGCGTTTGTCCATAAGGAAGAAGTCCACCAGGGGTGCGGTGGGCCCAAGGATCAGCTGTATCGCGCTGCAATCGTCAGGGGACGAAAAGGTTCAGGCTTGCACCAAAGGACTGTCATAGCGTAGCATCCTAGGAACCAGTAGTAAGGGCCCATGTTGGCGTGTCTTTTCTAAAGAGGACCCCAGAATTGTAGTTTTCCCTTTTGGGTTTTCTTTTTGTTTCCCTTTCAAACCACAAAAATGAGGTATCCTCAAAAAGAGTCACACCCGTTTAAAGTGTCCCGATTTGCCACCGAGGAAGTCCTACCTGTCCTTGGTCCTTGCGAGACACCTCAGCACGAACCACTTTGAGCCATGGCTTCAGCGTGTGACGCGTGTCCTTTCTCTGCTTTTCAGGGGAGGGAGTGTTCCTTAAAACACTACCAAAACACTCACTCCGTAAGTTCCTGGACTTTGTACTTTTGGGGATATTCTTTCAAGTGGCGAACAAACAAACTAAGACTTTTTCTGGCCAATCCACTCATAAAGCGACAATACAAAATGAGCCCAGGTGATATCCCCAACAACAACTCCGCAACCAGAACCCTGGCTGGTTTGCCGTCCTCAAAATGGGTGGTCCCCTTTGAATTCCAATCTGGACCTACCCCAAAAAAGGGGTAGGAAACATAGACTAAGGGTCATGGGGTTTCTGAATGGTTCCCCATGATGTTCGTGACAACAGGCATGAATCAGGCCCTTCCTCAAAGAGGATCAAACCATTCCTTTGGTCTTAGGGTCAAATGTGTTGAGGGGGTTCCCCCTTGAACTCGACCAACAAAGCAGTACCCTTTTGTCCATGGAAATCCAGCTAATTGGCAATTAAGGGGGTGAGTAGATTTGACGAAGCAAAAGTTCAAAAAAATAGGGATTGCTCTTGTTTCACACACCCCGCCGCACTAAGTGCACTGTATATTATTTGTCGGGTATATAGGGTGCGGTTGGGTGAAAGTAGATGGCACTACTTTCAGTCTAGTATAAATTGTTTCTCTGGCAAAAGAGTCCCAGTGCTTCCAGTTACCACTTTCGTAGGCCACCAAGGGAAACCATCATATAAAACCTGGTAAGCCCTGGCTTGGCGAAACACCTGGAAGCACTAGAAGGGTTCCAAAGATTGGCTGGCCGCAGTTTGGGTGTGTGTTATTTTGGGGGACCCCCAAAATGTAGGTTGTCCTTTTTGCTTTGCTTTAACGTCACAACTCACAACAAAAGTGGCAATCTCAGCAAAGGACAGACCCATACCCATCACCCATTTCGTGCAGGCATCAGGTGAGGCAGCCAAAATTTGGTTTGGATCGGCTTGGTTTGGCACCCGCGCTGTGACAGGAGTATGGGCCCAGCGTTTTGACGGAACTCTGCCGGAAGATCCAATCCTCGGAGATGCCGAGCACCTTCCATGCGCCTCGGATTCTGGGATGCGCAGCTCGATTTGGAGTTCCATAGTTCGACTTGCACAACTTATTGTGAGTGTGATCATTCATATGCACAGCTACCAGTACTCGTTTGGTACACGCGAAGTCTAGCGTACACGTGATATATGCGTTGTTTTAGATTGTGCTGTTGCAAGAAACACCCCTTTGGCGATCGAATGAGCTGGAAGAATCTGATGAATATCCCAGCTGTAGTATCACAGATGTTAGCTAACGTTGGTTACATTAGAGCTGAGGAATCTGAGTTGTTTCCCTTATAAAGTTTACAGCCTGCTTGCTAAGTTTGTTGAACACCCAAGTTGAATTCCTCGGTGAACTCAATGGAGTTCCTTGGTGCTCTGGGGGCCTTACTTCCCTAGGCTCTTCTTTTGTAGTTGATCTCTTTTTTATGCTCTCTAAGGAAAATCAATCATATGTTCGGTTGGGGCAAAAAAGCTGAGGTGCCGCCCTGGGAGCAAGCGAATCCGGTTTCATGGTGACAAAGGGGGGATGGCCCACACACAACAATTTTTGTTTTACGGCGGGTTGGTCTCAAACGAGGGGCACTTTGAACACTCAACAGGGCCCCCAGTAGAAACAAGTAAGGGTCACGCACCGGGAGAACTTTCAATCGCCTTGGTCATCGCCTTTCAGCTCCAAGGGCTTCAAATGCGAGGGCCTTGGCTTTCCATGTGGGCGTGTGTCTTTAGGAGGTGGTTGTTTTTTTAATGTGGAGGCCAAACGGAAACCACTGTTGCGGTTTGTTAGTTGGTAAATTGTTGTGTTTGTTTGTTTGTCTTTGTGTTTTGTTTGCTTTGTTTGCTTGTTTGTTTGTTGTGGTTTGGTTGTGTGTTGTTTGTTTGTTTGTTTGTTTGTTTGTTTGTTTGTTTGTTTGTTTGTTTGTTTGTTTGTTTGTTTGTTTGTTTGTTTGTTTGTTTGTTTGTTTGGTTTTGTTTGTTTGTTTGTTTGTTTGTTTGTTTGTTTGTTCGACTTTTCGATGCATCCTTTAAAGTAACTTTAGGAACCTGTTCAACCAACCTCCAAGTTGTAGCGAGCCAAGGTGTTGCCCGGCTGCTTCTTTGATGGCGCCTGGTGCGGCGCCAGCGCCGCAGTGTACTGGGACGACTTCTTTTCCAAGAAGGCCTCCAAGGCGGGAGGGGATCTCCTTGGTGCGACAGGCAGGAAATCTTTGGTGCATTTTGCTTGGATGTTAGGACTTTCAATATTTTGCCAACTAATGGGTTTTCCATTAAACCACTACCAAAGTCAAGCTTTTAGCAGGGCAGGAGAAAGCGACCGAGGAATGAAAAATGGAATGACCCCTAGAAACCATCCCTTGTTATTTCCTTTTGGGACCGCTGCGTTCATTCCCTCATTCACTGGCACCAGCAAGTTTCCCTTTGAAAACGACGACCAACCAAAGGGCAAGGCTGCTGGGTTTTCGAATCCAAGAGCAATCATAGTACCCAGAGCTGGAAAAAATGACAAGCCCGTGTGCATAAGCACTGGCTTTTTTGCATGGTGTTTGTTGTTGGTTGTTTAAACACACAAGTAAACAAGCTTGGGCAAGTGCTAGTGCACCCTTGAAAATAGTTCAACAAAGCATCACGGTGCCGAGAATGTGCTTGAGCAAGCGTGCGTATAAGGAATTCGAGAACGACACAAGCTTGCAGATTCAGGGCCGTTTTATGCAGGAGTCCCACATTCTCCCTTAAGGCCGGAGCCTCCCGAGGACGCCCCCGCGCTGAGTGGTCGGCTTTGCCAGAAAAGCCAGCAAGCCAAATTTGAAACTGCCGAAGCCGAAATTGAGAAAGTTTCTCCGGACCTCGATGATGCCAGGTCAACTGTCGGGTTGCCTTCTCTTCCCAAAATTTGCCACCTGGGAAGTCTTGGGTTCTCTGGCTAAGCAACTGATAATCTGTGATTTCTCCAAGACAAAGCTGACAGTGAATGGGTACTTAATCGATTTTTTTCCGGAACCCGGAGCCGGCATTCAACACCCAGTTCTTGTCGGAGGAGAATGTGGACTACATCACTCCAAACAACCACAGTGCGGCGTTCGCCTATCATTGGCATGGCCGCTGGGAGAAGCCGCTTCTCGACGGCTAAAATGGTCGTCATGTGGTCCGACCCTCGGGGCACCTTGGTGTTTGCCCGGTGTGGCCCCTTCAGACCTTTTGGAAACATATGGCTTTTCCATTGAGCCTACGAAAGGTTAGGCATTTGGTGAAAAGCATCCCAGTGATTGCCTAGGGGTTACCCCACTTGTAGGTCTCCCTACTGGAGTTGACTTTGTTGTAATTAGATGGTTTATAATCCAGGAGGCTAGCCTCTTACTAACTTGGCCGAACATCCCAGTATGGGATGGTCAGACACTTCCTTTCTTTTTGCAAAGGGAAACCGCCCGAGTTTGGTTCTCGCTTGGACGTCGCTTGGCTCTGAGGATGGTGGAGGGGTGCCTGGCCTCTGAAGCTGAGCGCATCTACGCGGAGGTGTTGCACCTTGACATGCGAAGCATCCGGCGGCTCTAGTTGGGACCCAATGGCCACTGCTTTACCACAATACCAAGCAAAGGTTGGCGGCAAGTGGCAGGTTGGTAAGCAATAAGCCAGTTCGAGGGCAGCAGCCAAGTTGTTTGATGGGAACCTGGGATTTATGCACAGACTCTGAGTGTGTCATTTGCTTCCCTTCCAACTAACATGGCCTTTCCGCACATGGAAAATCAATCTCTTCACGCGCCCCAGGTGCCATGTTCTTGGAAAAACAAAGTGGCTGCCCCCGAAAAGTGTGTAGCTTCTCATTGAAGAGACGGCCAAAGGACCGCTTTGAGCTTGGGCAAATTGAACCCAACCTGCAAGACCGAAACACCACGAAGTTGGATTCACTTGCCGCCTTCCCGCCCGCAAGATGCGGACGTCAAGTAGCGATTTGATTCGACAGAATCGCGGCCCGGCAAAATGCACGACGCGATGCGCAGAAAAGATTTGGCGGTGTCTTAAAAGGCAGCACCATGGTCCAAGGGGCCATGATTTGAATTCATGGGTTAGAAGACTCTCGCTTTGGGCTTGTCCATGTTCCTGGACCCTCAAAGGCCCCTTTAGTTCTGCCCGGTTGAGAGTGGTCAGTCTCCATTTTGGTACAAACCAATGTCAACCTGTATTAGGCTGCGCTCACATGAAAATAGGAGCATCATCCGCCAAAGGGGGCTGCCAGTTGAATAGCCCCTGTTCGTTTATTCCTGGAAGGACACTAACAGTGGATGAATATCTCCCTATTTTCAGGATTTTAACATGCTTTGTTGAAGCTGATTGCGGATGGAGGCATTCGGGGAGTCTGGCAGATGAAGGCCGTCAATGCACAGGTCGCAACACACCGGGCAGGGAAAGCACAATGCTCTAGTTGCGGTTGTCCTCCCAACGCATCCCAGTGATCCCGCGCAGGCCATGCAGCTCCTCGAGCACGCGTATTGGGACGCGACGTCCGAGCTCGCGAGCAAGCGCGGTGACGGCGATCGCGGCACCCCTGAGGTCTTTCAATCGAGGCCAGTTGACGTAGTCCTGGAATTTTGGTTTGTGGGACTATTGCATCGGCTGCTGGTGTCACAGCACGATCGATCCTTTTGCGTCATCTCGAGAGACCAAATAGCCTTTAAGTCATCGGCAGCTGGCACGATATCCCCAGACTCCGTTTCACAATGTCTAAAAACTGGAAACCTGCACGTGCCAAAAGCTGGTGTTCTGGTTCGCGTAACATGCGCACTCAATTCGGGTACAAGGCGAACTCTCCATTAACGAAGTCCCTTCGGCAAGTGAGAAGAACTTGCGCGTGCGTGGACATTATTGCACTTTGTTTACGGTAGAAATTGTAGCTATTTAAAGGGTTGCCCGCGGGGGGGGTCTCTGAAAAATGGAGATCACGTGTTTGCTGCAAGTTGGTCGCCTTGAAAGCATCGATCATGTATCTTTATGTTTGCTCGAGGGAAGGAGAGTTGCTCAGGTTGCCCTTTCCTTTTCTTTATGGGCACAGTTGTGGGTTTTAAGACTGCCGCGACGGAAAGTAGACTGAGATGGAGACATGAAGGCTTGGCTATCTCTTTACTCTCCACCTTCTGTCTAAATCTTTGCAACGGGTGGAGGTCTAAGAGATAGGAATGTGTCTGGTTTTAAAGCTGTAGATAGGACGGACAATCCCCGTTCCTCTCCTAACCATGAATTGAAATTTCTATATTGTTTGAGGAAATATCGCCTTTAGCAGGTTGTGAGCAATTGTGGTATTTTGGAATATATTTAATATAATTTGAATAATTATGTTTCAATTATAAATAAATAGTAATATTTGGAAATATGTTGTATATATGATATTAAAAAAAAAAAAAAAAAAAAAAAAAAAAAAAACATGGTTTGATATAAAATTAAAAAACAAGAACAAAAAAAAACGATTATTTATAATTGTTGAATGTATATATATTTTTATATAATTACTTATTTGCTTTTGAAATTTTATAGAAGTAAGTGAATTGGTAGTGTTGTATGTTAATTAATTTAATTTGTTATTTTTATTATATTTTTTTGGAGTTGGATATAGGTGATTATATATGTTTTCTTTATTGAAGAAAATATATATGTTTGAGGTTGATATTTTTGTATTAAATGATGAATAATTTTAATGAATAATTTTAAATTATGTAGATAATGGTGTTGGTGGTTTTTTGATTTGATTGTTATAATATTTTAGGTTGTTTTGTAGTAAAATATTTGTTTATATATATATATATCTCTTTTTTGAATGGGAATTTAATTTGTTGGAATTGAGGAAATTGAATTTTATTAATTGGGTTCGATAATGATTGGAAACAAATATTTATTAAATTTAGTGCTAGATTAATAAAGAATCCAGGGATGGTATGTTTGGAATGGATTATATCGTGTATTTATATATGCCGGTATGTGTGTATATTTGTATATATATAAATATAAAAAATATTGAAATAATTATATATATTTAATATTTAATTTATTTATATATATATATTTATAGATAAATTCTATATTGTAGGTCATATTTGTATATGATAATAATTTTTTTAAATTGATATTGGGTGAAATTAGACTCGATTTGGTTTAAGATTATTTAAAGATATAGATATTTTGGAATTTAAAATTTTTATTTTTTTTTTTTTATAATATAAATTTGAATTATGAAAATATATATTATGCTTGAATTATTGATTTATAAATGTAATAATGAGATTTATTTGACATATTGTGGGTGTTTTTAGATTTTATATTAGGGATATAATTATGGATTTTAAAAATATTACGATGATATTTAGATTTGTGAGAGCTTGGTTATTCATTTATTTTAATTCTTTATTTAGATTAAGAGATAGGAACATAATTGATTTTAAATTATAGATAGGATGGATTTCTAAAATAAATAATTAAATTAAACAATAAAATTGTTATTTTTATTGATAATATAAATAATTTATATATTTTAATTTATATAATGTATTTTAAATTGTATAAGTATATTTAAAAAATGATGAGTTGTATTTATGTTATATATATATATTTATTGTTAATAATAATATAATTTTTATTGTTCTTTTTTAATAATTCCAATTAATGGGGTTATTGTTTAGGTAGGGTTTAGGATATTTTTAAAGATGAAATAGGGTTATGCCGGATGTATTCGGAATATGATTCCCAAGTTTTTAATTAATTAAATATTATCGATAATATGATGGATATATATTTTTAATATAATTTTTGAATATATATATATATAAAATCTTAGTTGAAATAATATGTATTTAATTATTTCTAATTTATTATAAATTTTTAATATTGATTGGTTTATTGCACCTTACTCGATTTGTTTTTTTAATCGATTAAAATTAAAAATGTTTTTGTGTTTTGTATCTTTATGTTTTTGTTCATTAAGTTGGTTGTTTGTTTGTTTGTTTTGTATTTATGTATATGTTGGTTTGTTTTTAGTTTATCTTTGTTTTTTGGTATTTGTTTTTCTGAATATATTTTTGTTAATGTTGTATTGTGGTTTGTGTTGTTGTAGGTTTGTTTTTTATATATATATATAGATTATTTATTATATGTTTTATTTATTCTTATTATTATTATTAGAATATTAAATTTTGCAATTGTTTAGATATTATGAAACATTTGTGAATTTGGTAAATTAATAATATTATATATATATTTTGGATTTATATAATTTTATAATTATAGGAATATTTTAGTCGAATTATTATATTTAGAATAATTTTATATAATATGTTTATTAATATATGATATTCTTTTATAAAACCCTCGTGGAATCTTTATAGAATTTTGCCCTAGGACCGCACTACCCCGGAGCCTATTTGGACTAAGACCCTAATTATGTTAATTTAAAAAAAAATAATATCCCCAATAATATATAGTGTTATTTTTTGCATTCTATAGCCCTTATAACACCTCGGAAATCTTGATGGAGAACCTTACCTCAGGGCCGCCGCGGATTACCCCATAGCTCATCCGGATCAAGACCCCAAAATTCTCAATTGGTGGGAAAAACAATTCGGTAATAATTTTAACAACATATAATATTGTTTTTTCGTGCTCGAGCTACCCCGTAGCCCTTGTAGAATTTCATAGACATTTCGTCGAATTGTGGTAGAACCTTAATAGAACCTCCATGGGATTGTATCTCAAGGCCGTCCCCGCCCCGGAGCTTATCATAGGCTAAGACCCCAAAATTTGTTATTATTAATGGAAAAATAAAATAAAAAAATAAAATAAAAAATATTATAATATAATGTGAAATATATATATATATATATTAAACCTAATAAATATATATATATATAATTTAATTAATATTATGTTCTCTATATATATTATAATTATTAATTCAATTAATTATATTATTTAAAACACGAAAATCATATATCTATTATTAAAAATTAAAAAATATAATATGAATATCGATTATAATATATTCTTATTTAATATTAGTTTAATTAAATTTATATATTTATATTTATAAATATAAATATAATAATTATTTTTATATCCTCTATATCGTTATTGTTATTTGATAATATATAATAATATTCAAATACATATATTAATATCTATTTTTGTAATATCCCTTATATAAGTATAGATTAATATTCTAGTATGGAATATTCCGTAGTAACACGGACATCTAAAACGAATCAATTATGTAAAGTTGGTTATTCCGGACCTCTAGGAAAATATATATAGAATCCTCAAGCACAATTCATTTAGTGTAAAATAAATAGATAGATGGATGAATTAATGGATAAATAGATAAATAAATAAAACGATCAAGGGGCATACGGCCTTACCATGCGGTTTAAAGGCTTCTTAAGCCGTATAAAAAATGCAATTACTTACATAATGCATAAAACATATCTAAAATAGGGTCTAAAATGGTTATATAAATGGTTTATATTTTATTAAATCTCATCAAATCCTAATAAAACCCTAATAAAAAATCACCTCAAAACCTATTTAAATTAAAATCCATAAATATTTAATTATTATAAAATATACTACCAAAATATTTCTTATATTTAAAATATTCCCAAAATTATAAAAACATATTATTTATAAAATAATAATAATAAATAATTATATTAACAAAATATAATAATATTATAAATTTAATATTATAATTATAATATATATATATATATATCACCATATAATTCAATTATAAATAAATATTAATATTCGGAAATATTATTTATATACATCATGATATTTAAAAAACAAAATCGGTTCGATGCAAAACTCAAAAAACACATTATCTATAGCTAAATAATCCGGATTTGACTTCAATTGAAGAGAAAGTGCAGAGAAGGGCAAACAAGCATGTTATAAAAATTATAAACGTGTGTTGAGAAGGAATCACACCCCAAGCCGTAACTTTTGAATGAGTGCTTAGGTAGTTCTAATCTGAACAGTAGCCTTTTTTATGCGGTCATCTGTTTGCTTTCGCAGCCCTGCGCTCCTGCAAAGCAACGTATCCGTAAACAAATTGGTCTGTGCAACGTAGACCCCTGCGCCAAGCATGTTGACTCAGACAAATCAACCTGTTGGAATTTTCTCAAAATAGGGACTAGATATAGGCGGTTGTCCTCTTGGACTCCCTGTTCACCAGTCAAAACGGGGGTCCGCAATCTTGAGGCCGGTGTGAACAACACCCCCAAATCATCCAGTGAGACAACGGTGCTGGTGGTCTCTCAATTTGGTCCCCCTGACACCCTCAGGTCGTCCTCTGCCAAGCGTCTGGCTTCCTCGTCCTGCTCCTTCCGAACACAGGAATTGAACCTGCCCGAATCGGCTGGGCCCCGAGGAAGCCAAATCTCGCTAATTGGACCTGACCCCCCGACTGGAGGCACATTTTCGTGGGTCCCTTTCGGGTTCCATTGGAAAAGGGCAACCCGCAAAAATTTCATCCTCATGGCTTCATGGTTTTGAACTGGCCAGTTGTACATGAAATGGCTTGAATTGGTCCCATGTTTTTCTCACCTGAAGAAGAACCACATACTGACTAATTCCGGAATCTTTCTCAACCTGACCCGAAACAAGAAGTAAACAAATGCAAGGAAAGCCCAGCACGTGAATACTGTCATTGACCAGAAATTCATGATGATGAAGTCTGGCCGCAAGGGTTGTGCGATCTTTGAACAGTCGCAAGCAAGACCCTTCACTCTTTCAATGGAATGGGCTCAGGCCAAGGAAAGCAAATTGGCCAGACAGCAGCTGAGTTCCGACAGCGATTGGACTGAAAACGGGGAGACGGGGGGCAACTCAAACGCTTTGCAGACTAATTACACAGCATTAAGAGGATATGTGAAAAATCTGGCCCCGCGGACCGCAGTAGGTTGAAAGAAAGCAACCCAACTTTTTACTTTGATACAGTAGCCCCAGAAACAGTCCAAACCATGGCCCCAGTTGAAGTGTTACAGTTGGAGGGTGCCAACCATATGCCTCTTCCCCTGCCCCCATTGTTCCCAAATCCTGAAAGTCCCAACTAAATCTTGAGCTAGATCAGCTCTAAACCAGGGGGCGCAGGGGCGTTGTGCTCGGAACGGATTACGCTCGCGCATGCGTGTATGCCGGTATGTGTGTATATTTGCATGTATGCAGATGTAGTGTGTGTGTATATATTATATATATTTGTATATGTGCGGCTATACATGTATATCTGTGCATAGACGCATCTTGTATAGCGGGTAGCAGCCATACGTGTGAACAAATTGTCAAAACAACATTGGGTGAAACCAGGCTCGATTTGGTTCAAGGTTGCTTAAAGATACAGATTTCCTGGATCCCAACGCACCCCCCCCTGTTCTGCATTGCATTTTTTTTGCAGACCTGGACAGTGAAGGCACATACCAATCTTGAATCGTTGCTTCGCAAACATAACAACGGGACAGAGTTCTGGTACGCTCTGGCCCCTTCTGGCTCTTAATTATTTCAAACTGAGGCTCCGGCCCAAACACACATTGGGGGCACAAATGAAGAAAACACCAGGTGAAGGGATTGAAGGGATTCTTACAAGGGCCCTGTCAGCTTCCATCTGTCCTCCACTCGGAAAGCTGGACAAAAGACTACTTTCCACCTCTGATTCTCTGGCTTCCGGCGCTCTTATCTCTGCTGTCGCGCCTCTGTCGGTGTGTCTGGTTTCTGGTCTCTTGTCTCTCTGGCCTCTCTTTGATCTCTGGTCTCCCTGACCTCTCTGGCGCGGCTTGCGTGGGAGGTTCCCAGGCCACCCCAAACCCACCCCCAACCGACCCCCAAACCCCAGGCGCTTCCCGCCGTCAGGGAGGCTCACTTGTTCCCCAGTCAAAAGCACGGGCGCATGTCGCGCAGCAAGCTGGGCAAACCGCGAAAGGAACCAAGTAAATGCAACAAGGCGGAAATCATGAAGGAGGGTACTTTGCACGCGACGCAACTACGGAGATGGGACGCAGTCGTGTCCGGGATCCAATCCAAGGACATTGCGATGGATCCACGGCACTCAGGGATAGCCAGCTCTCCACTTGGAAGGCCCAGCATCCGACGAAGCGAACGAAAGCAAGAGCAGCAGCGTTTTTTGCCGCACTGTTGCCGGCAGCTCTCTGCTCGCGTCAATTCCATGGGCAACTGCGCGGGCTCCTCGCAGAAAGAGCAGACGGCCAGCAAACAGGAAACTGACGACATGGGCCGTGGGCAGCAAGCCAAAGATGCTGCGCAACGTGCACCGAAACCGATTGAACAGAAGTGAAAGTTGTTGGCTGAGAAGGCAAAAGTCTCCAACTGCGCGACAACACCTGCAGCCGCAGCGGCCCCCTCCACAATCACCTTGCAGCGAGTCTCTCTGGACAGTGCGAAATGACGTTGATCGTGGTTCTGAAGATTGCAGGAGTTGTGCCAGAGTTTGATCAGCGGGGCGCCTTCCTCATTTGTTTTGTCGTTGGCGGGGACAGCTCCCTTGACACTGACCCTTGATACTCTCAGAAGCGCCGCGCCGTTGCACAGGACGGGCACTAAACCTCCTATATGACCCATGCACGCCGAAGTGGTCTGAAAATCAAAAGAACAACTCCACTCTTTGCAAACAAGCTTGGTGTCCGTGCAAGAACGGAGGGGAGAAGCAGGCGAAGCAGGGCGAGCGGATCCAGGCACAAGAGAAGTCTGAAGTCCCGCTGCCAGGCTTCAGTCAACATGCGACAAGGAGGAGCCCGCTCGGTCGCCCAAATAGCATTGGAACATCGGCGTGCGAAAGAAAGAAACCGTGACATGGTTGACACGATCGATGTCGGCACGCCATAGAAAAAGCCGCTGGGGGCCGGCTGCAGCCATCTCGGCGAGCATGAACTAGCATGATCCTGGAGTCCTCCATCGTGTTCAGCAAGGTCTGCTATGAGCCGTTCGTTGAAGAAACAGCGTCACAAAGGGCAACATGAACCCGAACACACCCATATTTGCGCAAGATCCTGGGAAGTCATTTTCGCCAAAGGTGACTGTTGGACTGGTTGTTGGGCTGAAGCAAGCCGAACAAATGCCTCACTTCACAGCTCGAGGTCGACTAACGAAAAAACCAAATGGTCAAAAGCTCGGATTTGGGTGAGCGGAGAACCTAGGGGCGCGCATACCCAGTAGCAAAGCTGCCTCTTTTGGGGAAAGTGTCCGGCACGCTTCCACATTTCTTGGCAGAGGGTCAGTTCTTCAAATGCTTGGGGTGCCACGAACCCCCAAACCCACCGGTTCATTGGGGGGATCGCCTTTTTGCGTGCGCCGCGCCTGTTCTGGCGCACCCGGTCAACCTCTCCCGGCTCCATTGGCTCGGACTCATAGACCTTGGTTGGATTTCAATACCAAAAGGAAACAAACCACTTGGGATTCCACCTTTGGGAGGATTCCCACCTTTTAGTTGGAGGGTTCCTCCACCTTTGTAAGGCAAGCAAATAATTGGTTGCTTTTTGTTTAGCAAAAGAGGTTACAACCATGGTAATAACTGGGGTAGTTTGGGTTGGTCCCCGTTCCATGGCAAAGTGAGCCGACCTCTATCCTGACATGTTAGGACCTGCCACTAACAACAACCATGCCAAATGCCAAATGCTACACATATTTTACACAACAAATAATACAAAATGCAAATGTTAAATAAACATCATGACACGCCATGTTTCCCCAAGTGGCACCCTCTAAACTTCGTGGTTCTTTGGGCAAAAATGAAATGCACCCTCAAGTGCTAAAACCAACCCTTAAAAAAGAGGAATCAACCCACACACTGAATCCACCTGCCAACAAGTTAGAATCTATCCTCCCTCCCAAATGGAGTGGGAACAACTGCATTTGAGTTCGAATTTGCGTCTAAACAACAATACCGCCATAGCCACTGCCATTGTTTGGAAGAGTCGCTACCAATTTTGGGCAGAGCCACGACCGTGCCATTTGCTTGTTTGTTTGTTTGTTTGTTTGTTTGTTTGTTTGTTTGTTTGTTTCGTGAGCAGCCCTTGCCAAAGGGCACGTTCAAACAAACTGAAAAGGGGATGCCCCTTTCTGAAAAGAAATCGCCGCATGCAACCTCGACTCAAAGTGCAAAGGAGCCTTTTGAAGTTACCGCAAAAGGGATCAAAAGGCAATCCCTCCAACATCCATCGCTTCTTTTCCCAGTCGGCGCCCATGTCACTGTCATGATCCAATTAGCACACACAAAACGTGGGAAACCAACGCTTGCTGAACCCAAGATGCCTCCGCATAGCAGGCGCTGGAGACGCATTTGCTCACGCAGTCGTCATTCTCGTCCGGGTGAAACCTAGCAAATCACATGTTCCATGGGATCGTGTTCAACCTCAAACACGTTCAAACTTGGGCTTCTACCCCAAGGGAGCCGCCGCGGGTCAGGGCTACAACAAATGACCTCATGAAATCCGGTGATCTTTCAGTCGACGTGCCAACTTTCAACTTGCTTAACAGACTCGCACAAGGCCAAACAAGGTTTATGGCATAGGACTCCAAAAAGGGGTTAATAAAGGAGTATCAAAATAGGGGAATTTCAAAACTGGTGGGTGTCCTTTTACTTTCCCTCTAGAACGTTTTAGTTTCCCTCTAAAACCACCCCAAAAGGGCAGTGCTAAAAAACAAACTCACAGGCACACACTGTCACACAAACATACATTCAGTGGGCAAAACCGGCAGCTCCATGGAATGCCAAGGCCCCTGCCAGAGTTCCCCTTAGGCCCTGCTGGAACCAGAATTAATAGAGATCCTGGGCCCACTCGTGCTAAGGGCTCCTGTTTCGTGGTCAAACTGCGTCCGGCCCGAAAAACACAAAATGTTGGTGGCTGACTTCAAAGGGACACTCCCTCAAAACAGGGAAGCACAACAAACTCAAGGGGTTTTTGACTGGCGCGAACACCCAATGTACTCCCGCCCTGTTGGGTTAGAGCACCCGCCGCTGCAGAGTGCAACTTGTGCGTATTCGGTCAATGGTGACAGGTTCCGGAAGCATAGGTGTGCGGAAGGTGGCAAGCTTCAAATATGTCTAAACAACCTCCTGTGGGGCTTCTGGTAACAAATAAAGGGGCACCCCAGGACCAATATCCCCTGTTGGGATTCAACAACAGGTGTATAAAAAGCCTCCTGTTGGTATCCCTTTCAAAGGGTTGTTTCGACAACCAGATGCTGGCCAGAGCAGCCCCGAGCAGGATCCGCGCGCGCACTCGCCCTCCTTCTTCCAATGCACCTGAAAGACGGGGTCTTATGCATTGGGTGGCTCCGGGGCGGGGGACAGGGGGGGGGAGAGAATGCACAGGGCGCCCATGCTAAGCTGCTAAGCACTATGAAGGTGGATGGCACTTCCTTACGGACGCAAAGGGAATGCTGCCGGGGGTACTTGGATGTTCAACCAACATGACTCAAGTAGGTGTAGGTCAAAACCATGGCTATTTCTGGGCTACCTGGGGCAAGTCTGCTTGTGGCCAGAGTACTGATCTACTTCTCGAGTAATGCGTAATGTTGGACCTCAAAAAATCTGACCCCCCTCCTTGTTGAAAGTCCAGGAGGCCTGGGTGAGACTTGGGCTTCCTAGTACTTGCTTTGGCACTGCCAAGACAAATTTAGTCTCAGATGTCCCAGTACTTAGTTTAGTATTTTCACGTTTAAATTTAGCATTGCCAAATGGATTCCTACATCTAAGCTTTTTACCCGTTGGGCTGGGAAGAGCTAGTTCGGTGAACCACCCTGTAAAAGTAAAACTATGGTTTTAATTTGGGAACTTCAGCAACCCCAAAACAAGTTTGGACACTACAGGGGACCCGAAAAAATCCCATTGAGTTTCTTGTGGGCAACCCCAGTTTGGTAGTTTGGGGACCGCTGGCAAATGGATATCCTAGATCTGTGGTCTTTACCCTTTGGGCTAGGAAGAGCTTGGCCTTAATTTGAAAATTTCAGCAACCGCAAGACAAGTTGGGCACTAACCCCGGCCCCAAAGCATTTACACAGGGCCGCTTGTGGGCAACCCCGTCTTGTAAAGAAACTATTTTAAATCCGCCGACCCCTTGCAAAGGTAGGCGCACGGCCTCACTATCATGGTGATGAGCATCACCATTTCCTGCAGAGTCTAGGTTTATTTGTGCTCGCTCCTGTCGTCTCATTGGCGTTGTCGTCATCAGCAATGCTGGGGATGCTATCATCCTCATCATCCTCATCACTGTAAGCCATCGTCATCATCGTCATCCTCATCGTGATTCTCACGATAGTGAAATGATCATCATCGTCGTCACCTCTTGTATTCTCGTATTGTATATACACTTGTGCTGTAACTCTGTTAGGCAGCACTTGCATTTCTGGGGATACGATCATCGTCATTATCATTATCATTCGTTGCGATCATCATCATAGCGATCATTGTCCTCATCGAAGTGTACTTTTGCATTTTGATTTTCATTTTGGGTGTTGCGTTAGGCCCGGCTTGCAATGCATGACGCTATCTTTATTCTTCAGTTGGTGTAGTGCCATGCATTCGCTCTGCGTGCGCCAGAATTCCTCCGGCGCTCATGCTTGTTTGCGTTGGCTTGCGCGACCCCATTGGCGATATTGGGGATCATCATCATCATCGGCATTGTTGTCGTCGATATCATTCTGTTAGGTCAATCGTTAGCAGCATCATGGGTTGCTTGGCTCATCATCATCATCATCATCATGATCATCATAGACCTTAAATGTCTGCAAGATGTGCAAGAACTCTAAATCCGGTGCGGCTTGCAATGCAGAGGATGCCATCATCGTCATCATCACCACCGCCAGCTCGGGGTGCTGGGTATGTCACGATGATAGTCACGACGATCCGATCACGACCCAGCATCAAGAAGTCTGTATTCCCCACAGCCCCTGGCAGGATACACACATTTACCATATTCGAAGTGTGGACTCTCTTGAGTTGCTAGGTCACATGGGCTGGCTCGAGAGCTGCGCTAGGGATCACGGCCCTTGCCTACGCACTCGCTTTGGAGTTCCCATGTGCTTCCTGCTACGCAGCATTGTCGGTCTGCCAGTGTTCCTTTGCGAATCTGATTGTTTGTTTGAACTTGTTCGCTCGTCTCCATGTGTGTGTGTGTGCATGCGCGTTGCTTGCTTGCGACCTTGCTTGCTTGCTGCCTTCTGGCTGCGTGATCATGTTTCCTGGTGCCCGCTGATTCAGTTTGATTTGTGTATTTGCTTGGTGTGTTTGTCTGCATATTTGTGCGCGCCCCTGCGCGTTTGCTTTTTGATTGTTTGTTTGCTTCCTTGTGTGTCTCTGTCTGTCTGTTTGTCTGTCTGCCTGCCTGCCTGTCTGTCTGTCTCTGTCTGTCTGTCTGTCTGTCTGTCTGTTGGTCTGTCGGTCGGTCGTTCGGTCTGTTTGGCTGTCTCTGTCTGTCTGCCTGTCTGTCTCTGTCTGTGCTTGTTGGTGATTTGTTTGCTCCTTCTTGTTTGTTAGTGAATTTCTGCGTGTGTTTGTTTGTATGCGCAATTGTTTGCTTGCTTGCTTGCTTGCTTGCTTGTTTGCGTCCTTCCCCTTTTTGTTTGTTTGTTTGTTTACTTGCTTTCTGCTCCTGTTTCTATATTCATGCTGGTTTCATTTGTTTGTGTGTGTGCGCCTGTGGCCGACTGATTTCCTTGTGTGTTGACTGGATTTCCCGTCGCGGTGTTGATGTCCTGTTGTTTGATGGATGGAAAGTCTGTGCGTCTGATAACTGCTTGCGCGCGCACGCGCGCGCGCGCGCGCGCGTGCGTGTGTGTGTGTGTGTGTGTGTGTGTGTGTGTGTGTGTGTGTGTGGGTGCGTGCGTGCGTGCGTGTGTGTGTGTGTGTGTGTGTGTGCATGAGTTTTTGTGTACTTGTTTGCGGGTTTGTTGGACAGTTTTTGTGGAACAGAATGGCTTGGTCGTTCCACAACAAGGGGTCTGCGACACTTGGGAGACAAAATTACGATCGATGTTCGGGGGACAAAGCGCGCAAGCACACTTGCAGTCAGGCCCGCGTCCAAATGCACCATGGCTCCGAATCTCAAAACCAAATGCCAAGACGGTTCGGCCAAAGGCTTCCCCACGCCTCCTTCACTGGCGTCGAGGCGTGTCCCAAGCCATTCTTCCAAGTACTGTGTCATTAAAATTTCCCAGCTGACTCGTGAAGGCGTGTGACCAAAGGTGCATACCCCTGCCAACAGCCAGCGTTGTCCCCAGAACTTTGAAGCCGGATGCGCCACACAACGGGTTGGGCGCTTTTGCTCTCGAAAAGGAGGTCGCAACCCGGGCCTCATGCGGAGCAATTTGTCGGGATACACCCCAAGGTCTCGGCGACTTCTATGGACCTCACCAACCTGGAATCATGTCGTGGACCACCAAAAACAGGAACCTTCATGGGCGAAGTCCAACGCAGCCGTCCGCAACACGGCAAGCTTCTTCGCCAGGTTTGGGTCTGAGCAACGGTCAGGCCGCGCTGCCAAAGACCTTCGCGGGGTGCTTCTGCGGCCCGAGAAGCCAGCCGCGCACGCGCTAGGGGGTGGACAGCTGCGTCTGGGATGCACTCTTTTTTCCGCCCGCAACCATCCATCCATCCCATCCCATCCCATCCCATCCCATCCCATCCCATCCCATCCCATCCCATCCCATCCATCCATTCATCCCCATTGTGAGTTTCACTGGCACGAGCGCGGAGCGAGACAAGTTTGATGGCTTGGGCCACAAAAGGAATGCCAAATGTTTGCCCGGATGTGTTGCACGTTTTTTGTTGCCCGGCGTTGTTGCCCATTATGATTATTAGCAAGCAAAACGCTTCCACAATAGAGGAAACCAAAACAGTCACAGGATCCTGAACTAGCAAAACACTTTCTGCAATAGAGGCCCCAATTACAATTGGGGGTCAAACATTAGCTTGAACACCAGTGTATATGGGGGGGTGGGGGAAAAAAGCAGAGCATCCTCGTTTGCTCCTCCCATCCTGGGGCAGTTGGACACTCATTGTCATTGTTGGCACCATTATTCTACCAGTATCAAAGCTATCACGCAAGTGGTAGGTTGAAGGGAACCAAGTTTCTGACTTTGATAGCCCCCAAAAATGTTCAAATAATCACCCCGGCTTGTTTGATTGAACTCAAGGGAACCCGAACCAACGTGAAGCTGGAACACGCCAGCAAATTCACAACTTATACAGGTCCGCCTCATGCTTCAGGTCAGCCCCAGTTGAGCGAAGCTCACTGTATGTCGGCCCAAAAGCTGTTGTCTTTTTGGTTTCCCTTTAATCACCTTTGAAAAGGGTACCCTCAGCAGCCACACATCCATGCAAGCGATGGTCAACATACACTGTGTCACCCCATGACATGGTGAGTGACGCCCATCTTCTAGTAGTGTTTTGGTGAGTGTGACCCATATTTGTTTTCTACAGCAAATGATGGTCAATATTGACCTCAGCTCATATCCATATGTGTGTCTGTCTTTCTGTGGCTGACTTTCAGTTGGTTGGCTTTAAAGGGCAACCACAAGGGAAGCCACCATGCAAACCAGTCATTTTGAGGGGGTTGAAGACCATAAATTAGTGGGTGTTTTTTCTGAGGCTCGGTACCCTCTTTGAAGTTCTTCCAAAGGAATAATGAAAGTTCCCGGCCCAACCACACACACACAAACACCCTTAAAAAATGCCCCCTTGTGACCCCTGGCCCGTGCCTTGGACGAGTGCTGCGGGTACTTCTTCGTCTTGGAGTCTGCTGCGCACGTCCTCACCTCGATTGCTCGCGAGATCAGTGAGACGCGCTCAGACGTCCGCCCGTGTTTCTGTTTCTTGGCAGCAAAGAGGGGGGTACACGGGAAAGCAACTTTTGATGTGTCATGTTTGGTCAACCCTCAAGAAGAACAACATGTTGGAGACCACACCATTGGTGGCTTAGACTGGTGGCTGGGAGGGCTAAGACCATGTAATCCTCAATCGGTGGGCACCCCCAAAACCGGCCAAACACACTTGTTGCTTATGGCCCAACTCCGCCTGAATCCCCAAAGGAACCTCGGAAGGTCGGGAACCTTTCTGGGAACTGGGAGGGGTAATGGGTTTGTCTTAAATTGGGTGTGATATCTGACGGTACCAGGGGCTCCCTGTGTCTGTGTGTGTGTGGAACCTTCTCTTGCACGAAGGCGGCGTCACGGCCTATATTGGAATGTCTGCGGTGTGAACACGAGCAGGGGGACCAGGGATGCATGACTTGGCCTGGTCCAACGAAGCTACAAGTCTTGCATCAGGATATGGCAGAAGGACGCTTCAGCCACGTACCTGCGTTAGCTGTTGGTTCCCCACTGGGTTTGTGTCGTGATGTTGACGCTGTTGATTTGTAACTAGAGTGACACCGCTTGGATCTGACCTTGTGACCTCTCTGCATTCTAAAGTGTGATTCGCTTGGCACGTCCGACATGGCGCCAAGTTTGACGGGTTACCATGCCCGGCGCCTCACTGAGGTGAAGATCTCGTTCAGGGCACCTTTTCGGTGCTGGATCCTTTGAGGCCACCCCTCCCAATCAAGGTACCTCCCAGGCACGTCTCACCTCAAACTCCGTTCAGCGCTCTGTTACGTTCAGGATCAGGTTCAGCATTCAGACCCGGTCGGTTCCCCGCTTGACGTCAGGCTGCACTTGCAGGTCTTCAGGTTTGTTTTCGGTTTCCCGTGTTGCCTACTCCTCACGTGCTCAAACAGCCAAGTGACTTGCATCGGATGTGCATCGGATGTGCGATTGATGGTTTGTTTCGGTCCCCTTGGAAAACCCTGCCCGTTTTTCCGTCTCGCCGCCACTTGGTTGAGGTCACCCTCGGAACTGCCACGTTTCACCGAACCTCAGCCGAATCTCAGTGAGACTTTGGATTTGTGACTTTCCATGACCAGACCTTTTGCATCAACAATGTCGACAACCGACTAACCATGCCAGCCGCACCACTCGCTACCACACCACCATTTCGGGCGTTCCTCGCCAAGGAGTTCTACATTGACACCATCACCCTGGCCGACGAGCCGGGCAACGACTTTTTGGGCTTCTCCATCAATCTGCCGCAAAAAGCGGCGTGTGTGTGTGGAACCTTCTCTTGCACGAAGGCGGCGTCACGGCCGATATTGGAATGTCTGCGGTATGAACACGAGCAGGGGCGGATGTGCATCGGATGTGCGATTGATGGTTTGTTTCGGTCCCCTTGGAAAACCCTGCTCGTTTTTCCGTCTCGCCGCCACTTGGTTGAGGTCACCCTCGGAACTGCCACGTTTCACCGCACTTCAGCCGAATCTCAGTGAGACTTTGGATTTGTGACTTTCCATGACCAGACCTTTTGCATCAACTATGTCGACAACCGACTAACCATGCCAGCCGCACCACTCGCTACCACACCACCTTTTCGGGCGTTCCTCGCCAAAGAGTTCTACATTGACACCATCACCCTGGCCGACGAGCCGGGCAACGACTTTTTGGGCTTCTCCATCAATCTGCCGCAAAAAGCGGCGTGTGTGTGTGTGTGGAACCTTCTCTTGCACGATGGCGGCGTCACGGCCTATATTGGAATGTCTGCGGCATGAACACGAGCAGGGGGACCAGGGATGCATGACTTGGCCTGGTCCAACGAAGCTACAAGTCTTGCATCAGGATATGGCAGAAGGACGCTTCAGCCACGTACCTGCGTTCGTTGATAAGCTGTTGGTTCCCCACTGGGTTTGTGTCGTGATGTTGACGCTGTTGATTTGTAACTAGAGTGACACCGCTTGGATCTGACCTTGTGACCTCTCTGCATTCTACAGTGTGATTCGCTTGGCACGTCCGACATGGCGCCAAGTTTGACGGGTTACCATGCCCGGCGCCTCACTGAGGCGAAGATCTCGTTCAGGGCACCTTTTCGGTGCTGGATCCTTTGAGGCCAGGTACCTCCCAGGCCACGTCTCACCTCAAACTCCGTTCAGCGCTCTGTTACGTTCAGGATCAGGTTCAGCATTCAGACCCGGTCGGTTCCCCGCTTGACGTCAGGCTGCACTTGCAGGTCTTCAGGTTTGTTTTCGGTTTCCCGTGTTGCCTACTCCTCACGTGCTCAAACAGCCAAGTGACTTGCATCGGATGTGCATCGGATGTGCGATTGATGGTTTGTTTCGGTCCCCTTGGAAAACCCTGCCCGTTTTTCCGTCTCGCCGCCACTTGGTTGAGGTCACCCTCGGAACTGCCACGTTTCACCGAACCTCAGCCGAATCTCAGTGAGACTTTGGATTTGTGACTTTCCATGACCAGACCTTTTGCATCAACAATGTCGACAACCGACTAACCAGGCCAGCCGCGCCACTCGCCAAGGAGTTCTACATTGACACCATCACCCTGGCCGACGAGCCGGGCAACGACTTTTTGGGCTTCTCCATCAATCTGCCGCAAAAAGCGGCGTGTGTGTGTGGAACCTTCTCTTGCACGAAGGCGGCGTCACGGCCGATATTGGAATGTCTGCGGTATGAACACGAGCAGGGGCGGATGTGCATCGGATGTGCGATTGATGGTTTGTTTCGGTCCCCTTGGAAAACCCTGCTCGTTTTTCCGTCTCGCCGCCACTTGGTTGAGGTCACCCTCGGAACTGCCACGTTTCACCGCACTTCAGCCGAATCTCAGTGAGACTTTGGATTTGTGACTTTCCATGACCAGACCTTTTGCATCAACTATGTCGACAACCGACTAACCATGCCAGCCGCACCACTCGCTACCACACCACCTTTTCGGGCGTTCCTCGCCAAAGAGTTCTACATTGACACCATCACCCTGGCCGACGAGCCGGGCAACGACTTTTTGGGCTTCTCCATCAATCTGCCGCAAAAAGCGGCGTGTGTGTGTGTGTGGAACCTTCTCTTGCACGATGGCGGCGTCACGGCCTATATTGGAATGTCTGCGGCATGAACACGAGCAGGGGGACCAGGGATGCATGACTTGGCCTGGTCCAACGAAGCTACAAGTCTTGCATCAGGATATGGCAGAAGGACGCTTCAGCCACGTACCTGCGTTCGTTGATAAGCTGTTGGTTCCCCACTGGGTTTGTGTCGTGATGTTGACGCTGTTGATTTGTAACTAGAGTGACACCGCTTGGATCTGACCTTGTGACCTCTCTGCATTCTACAGTGTGATTCGCTTGGCACGTCCGACATGGCGCCAAGTTTGACGGGTTACCATGCCCGGCGCCTCACTGAGGCGAAGATCTCGTTCAGGGCACCTTTTCGGTGCTGGATCCTTTGAGGCCAGGTACCTCCCAGGCCACGTCTCACCTCAAACTCCGTTCAGCGCTCTGTTACGTTCAGGATCAGGTTCAGCATTCAGACCGGTCGGTTCCCCGCTTGACGTCAGGCTGCACTTGCAGGTCTTCAGGTTTGTTTTCGGTTTCCCGTGTTGCCTACTCCTCACGTGCTCAAACAGCCAAGTGACTTGCATCGGATGTGCATCGGATGTGCGATTGATGGTTTGTTTCGGTCCCCTTGGAAAACCCTGCCCGTTTTTCCGTCTCGCCGCCACTTGGTTGAGGTCACCCTCGGAACTGCCACGTTTCACCGAACCTCAGCCGAATCTCAGTGAGACTTTGGATTTGTGACTTTCCATGACCAGACCTTTTGCATCAACAATGTCGACAACCGACTAACCAGGCCAGCCGCACCACTCGCTACCACACCACCTTTTCGGGCGTTCCTCGCCAAGGAGTTCTACATTGACACCATCACCCTGGCCGACGAGCCGGGCAACGACTTTTTGGGCTTCTCCATCAATCTGCCGCAAAAAGCGGCGTGTGTGTGTGGAACCTTCTCTTGCACGAAGGCGGCGTCACGGCCGATATTGGAATGTCTGCGGTATGAACACGAGCAGGGGCGGATGTGCATCGGATGTGCGATTGATGGTTTGTTTCGGTCCCCTTGGAAAACCCTGCTCGTTTTTCCGTCTCGCCGCCACTTGGTTGAAGTCACCCTCGGAACTGCCACGTTTCACCGCACTTCAGCCGAATCTCAGTGAGACTTTGGATTTGTGACTTTCCATGACCAGACCTTTTGCATCAACTATGTCGACAACCGACTAACCATGCCAGCCGCACCACTCGCTACCACACCACCTTTTCGGGCGTTCCTCGCCAAAGAGTTCTACATTGACACCATCACCCTGGCCGACGAGCCGGGCAACGACTTTTTGGGCTTCTCCATCAATCTGCCGCAAAAAGCGGCGTGTGTGTGTGTGTGTGTGTGTGTGTGTGGAACCTTCTCTTGCACGAAGGCGGCGTCACGGCCTATATTGGAATGTCTGCGGCATGAACACGAGCAGGGGGACCAGGGATGCATGACTTGGCCTGGTCCAACGAAGCTACAAGTCTTGCATCAGGATATGGCAGAAGGACGCTTCAGCCACGTACCTGCGTTCGTTGATAAGCTGTTGGTTCCCCACTGGGTTTGTGTCGTGATGTTGACGCTGTTGATTTGTAACTAGAGTGACACCGCTTGGATCTGACCTTGTGACCTCTCTGCATTCTAAAGTGTGTGTGTGTGTGTGGGTGGGGGGGGGGGGACTTTTCGAGCTGGTACCTTGTGTTGGATGTATTGCTTGTTTTGGGCGAGAGATAACCTATTTTGGAACAAACCCACACTTGCACATTAACCCTGGAGCATGAATCATCCCACCAAGCAAGCAGGCAGGCAGGCAGGCAGGCAGGCAGGCAGCGAGGCAGGCAGGCAGGCAGCCAGGCAGGCAAGCACGCAAGC